CATAGGTTGAGGACGCCTGGTCTAAGGCATCGGTTTTCCTCACCCAGTAGGTGCTGGCCTTCCCTCAACATAATGGAGGCCACTCCTTGGGTTGGTGTCTTTGTCCTCAAAGCTGGGGCTGCTCTAACCACTAACAACCTTCCTGCCCCAGGTGACCAGCCCTCTTCTCTGTACCTCCCCCACCAAAGGACGAAATGGAAATGTGACAAGGGACCTCCCAAATGAAAGGGTGTTCCTGAGGCTTTTGCAGGGTGTATGGATACTGCCTCAGAGTCAGGAAGGCCAGGAGGGGTGGGAGTCCCAAACACTTTGACGTGCTGTGATTAAACCCTCAAATAATCAAATCACACAAGTGCAGGCACATGCACACACTATGTGGCAGTGACGACTGATGACTCATGCCCTGACCTGGACCTTGTGGCATCAGGCTGCACTGTTAAACTCCCAGATTTACAAATGTAAACACCCGTGCCCCTCAACTTGAGTTTTCACTGAGAGAGTCATAAAAATACTTAAATTCATTGCTTATAAATCTCTCCCCTCAAAAGAATAAGTCCTGGGGGCCAGGCCACCTGTGAGTCTTCCTTTAATCAACATCCCCAAGAGCAACTCACCACCTCCGTTTGGTATTCTCTGCTGTCTGTAGCCTTGGCTACACATTAGAATCACCTGGGGAGCCTTTCCAGTTCCCAATGCCCAGGCCTCATCTGGACCCATTAATTAAACCCGCATCTCTGCAGGTGGTCCCTGGGAGGAGTATTTTAACTCTCCCCAGGTGATTCCACAGTACAGTGAAGGGTGAGAATCAGCCCAAGTTAGAGATAAACGATGCTGATCATGGCCACCAACTAAAAGTCGAGAATCACAAATGAGAAAGATGGGCCCCTGCCCTCATGCACACAAAGTGGTCCAAAAGAGCCAGAAGGGGACAGGACTGAGGCGCTCAGTTCCTCCCACTTCCCACCCGTGGGCAGAGCTGCCAGAAGAAATAAAGGGTGGATGGGAGTGCAGGAATGTACTGGCAGATGGTAAAGACTGTTAGATGGTGAGGACGTTGATGCTCTGCCCTGCTTATGCCTGAGTCTCTGGGACACAGGCACCTTCTTAGCGGCCTTCTTTCAGCCACGTTGTTAACTGTAGGCTGCTCAGTGAGATGGAACGCAAGCCCTTTGTATGGGGATGCTAGAGGCGGTGCTTAATTTCTTAATTCTCATCGCAATTCGGTTCACGGGAGACTCCTGGAATGTCTTTATCCATCACAGATGGTTTGGGAAAATGATAAATTAATATTGTTATCAATGGAGGCATGGCTTAAATGTTTAAAGAGCAATGTCTTCTTTGCTGGCTCTAAAAAGAGAGAGCCCCCAAAGTCCATAAAGAAGACAAATGGTAAACAAAACCTCCTATCCTCTGACAGATTCCAGGACGAGTATCATTCACAAACCATTCTAGGCAGAAAAGGGAGAAATTTATCTCATCTGACTTTGTATAGGACAACAGACCTTGCCATAATGAGGCCGTCCCAGTGCTGTGAAATTGTGTTGAATAGCTGGAGAGTGCAGCCGCCTGTTCCCTGGGCATGTTTATTACTGCCTTTTGTATGCACCAACCCTGCCAGCCCTGGTTTGCTTCTAAACTAGGGGAGGGGAAAAAGAACTCAACAAATTTGTTGCTATGAAACTTCCCAAAGAGACTACATAATAACTTTTGGAATCTAATGCTCTTGCCCCAAGCTCTTCTTGTCTGCGTCTACCCCTGCTCTAAACTGAGTGAGGATCTGAGCCAACCAATCGCCAGCAGTGCATGGGTGGCCTCGGCGCCCTGCCTGTGCCCCTCCCAGGCCCTGAGAAGTCGAGCAAAAGAGGGTACTGATGGCCATTCCCAAGCTAACCTGGGAGTCAACCCCCCACTTGTCCCTGTTGTCCTGTAACATTTATCAGAAAGCAAAGGTGTGTGGCCCTCACCTGAAGGCCTATGGTGGGCTCCCCAAGGTGGGTCTCAGGACCTAGGTCTGGGGGTGGCACCATACCTATAAGATTTTGGAAGCTGCTGAAAGCAAACCAGCAAAGATCAAAATGCTGGGGGCAACATGCTTCCACCCAAGGAACCATTTCCTGGAACCATCTGGCCCTGGGAAGACAAGGCAGAAGAATCCTAGGGAGGTGGTGGAAGGGAGTGACCAAGGGACCCCCACGTGAAGCTCTCAAGAGCACATGTTCTCTGCCAGCATCTGAACTTCTCCTAAAGCTAGTTAAGATCTCACAGTCTCTTTTTGCTGGGAAGTGCACCTTGAGGGAATTAAGGATTCGAAGATCCCATATCCCCTAAGGAAGTGACACCAGAAAAGGGAAGAGCTGAGAGGAAAAGGTCCAGAACTTCAAGAGATACCTTTCCTCACCAATCAGATGGCTGGACTTCTCAGCTCATGTTTTTTGCTCATCAATTGGAGAGAAGATCTCTTCTTACCAGTAGTAAAGCAGAGTGCTTCAGGCAACGTTTTTCCTCACCAATCAGGAGGCAGGATCCTTGAAGCTTTGTTTCCACCCCACCCCACCCCCCCACCAATCAGGTGGCAGCTTCCCTAAAGTACTGTCCTTCCTCCCCAGTCAGCAATCAGAGTGCCAACATTTCCCTCCGCAGATTCTCAGCGGGATGTGCCTGTGTCTTTCTGAGAAGAATCCATTCTTAGGTTTTCCTTTCCTGTAAGTTCTCCCAGGGTTCCCAGTAAGACTGGGGGCAGCTGCTATCCAGAGCTGGGAAGGAAGACACAGCCGCCCAGGCTGGCTGCAGCATTCCTTACCTGTTTTTCTCTGACCCTCCTAGAAGCACACAAAGTAAGCTGAGCGCGTGCGCACAATTCAGCCAGAGCAGCAGAGCCCTGGAGAATAGGCTGCAGGCTGAGGACCCTGTGGCTTCCTGACAGCAGTCACTCTGAGTGGGGAAAAGCAACACACAGCCCTTGTCCCTGCTCACAGCAACAGGGGATTGGTGGAGATGAACCTGCTCCTTCCTGCCACTCTGGGGACACACATTTCTGCTCTGACAGCAGAAACTGGCCTGACAGGAGGAAATGACCAATGCCCTTCCTGGTAGAGCCCAGACATCCTCACCCACGGGAGCAGGACTGCCCACTCGAGTGGATGCTGCTGGTTAAAATCATTTTTTTCTTTTGGCTGGACCCCCAAGAAATCTATGTGCAAGCCAGCTGTTTACAAGACCACTGGCTTGTGGAAGAGAGACAGCAAACACTGTGCACAGGCAAAGGATACCTTCCAATGTCTTCTCTGAAAACCCAAAGCCACCCCTCCCAGGTCTTGTCTTGCTCACACCCTCCCGACTCTGCAGATGTTTCTTGGGTCCCTTTTCCTGGGCCACCTTCCCATTCTCTTCTCAAAGTCTCCTGGGGGATTGTCACCTGACATAGTGAATTTTTTGATGGGGAAACAGCCCAGCTACCTTTATGCTCATATTTCTCTTGTCAGCCACCAGAGGCAGCCGTAAGTCCACAGATATGGAAAGAGAACTCTCTTTCGTCTTGGAAGCCATCCTACTCATCCCTGTGCATTTGGAATTGAAGGGATTTCTCTTGGAGGAGACAGATAGCAAAGCTAGTTTTTGAGAGAAGTTATTCACATAAGCAAGGTCAGCTTCATCGAACCCATGCTCAGCAGATCACGCACTTGTCCGTCCCGGTTTTGAAATTTGTAATTGTTTTTTGAATAAGCCCCCTGTTTATCTTGCAGAAGGCCCTGCAAATAAGGAAATCAGTCCTAGGCACAAGTGCCCTACATCTGATGGCTTTCGAAGACGGTGCTTTCACTTCATTCAAAGGCTAAGCCAGGCTTCCTCAAACTACGGCCCACAGGCCACATGCAGCCTGCCAAGGACATTTATCCGGCCCACCGGGTGTTTTTGCTGCCACTGCCTGTCCTGCCTAGCTGCCAGCTCATCCTGGGGCCCGCAGTCCAGCTCTCTAATGGTCTGAGGGCCAGTGAACTGGCCCCCTGTTTAAAAAGTTTGAGGACCCCTGGGCTAAGCAGTGACCACACAAGTGTTTCTGCAGCTCCCCACCTGGGCCTAAGTCTGCCATGGCTCAGGACCCTCTGTCTGGGCCAATACAGGGCCCATGTCAGGACCCTGTCCACACTAAGATGTTGCCCAAGAGCCTGCAGAGGAATAAATGTCTTCTCGGGAGCTATGCTCACAGCAGGCCTTAGCCCTCAGCATTTTGGAACAGGAGAACCCTGGTTCTTAGAATTCCCAAAAGCGAATGTGGGGTTCTCACCCTCCAATATCATTCCAACAGCTCCTGAGTCATCTGACCATTGCTTCATTTTTGATGGTGGGAGAAAAACAAACATCAGAAAGTTGAAACATTACTGCTTGCTTCAGTGGACAAAAATAGAGTCTCCTGTCTCCTTTTAATTTTTTCTTTTTCTTTTTTTTTTTTTTTGTCCTCAGAAGTAAAGCTATTTGCAGATGGATTAAATGTTCTTTCTGAGACCCTGCTCCTGAAACTACCAACCTTGCTGTGACTGTGGCGGCGGGGGGGGGGGGGGGGGGGGGGGTGGTCTGGGTGGTGCACACATATCCAAAGAAGTGCATCTGCCTGTGTTTGGTAAAAGAGGGTCCTTTGTCCCAAAAGTAAGCCCTGAGAACATGACTCGTGCCCCTGTGGTATGCAGCACACCTGTGCAGAGGAGAAGCCGGGAGGGGGGTTGAGGGGGAGGTGCTGGCGGGCTGAGCCCTGCACCCTCGCAGGGGATCACACCTTCTCCTTTCTTCTCCTTTGAGCCATGTCTTCATCGCCCCTTTGTTTTGGCTTACACCTCCAAATACCAGGGAGGCCGAGTGTGTGTGTGTGTGTAAAAGAGAGAGACCCAGTCTATGCTGATTTGCATGGAGACTAGAAAAAAGAAACCAAAAAGGAGAGAGGAAAGAGAAGGGAGGACAGGTGTTCCCAGGGACCCCAGCCCCGGCCCCCTGGGCGTGCAGCCTACCTTTGCAGGCCTTCCGGTGACTGATGGGCTTGCCCATGTCGCGGTAGTAGCCCTCCTTGCAGTAGTGGCAGTGGCGGCCAGCAGTGTTGTGGCGGCAGTTAAGGCAGACGCCTCCACTCTTGCGCCCCGAAAGCTTGTAGAGCTCCATGTTGAAGCGGCAGCGCCGGGCATGCAGGTTGCAGTTACAGGCTGCAGGGAGGACGGGGAGAGACATCAGGCAGGGGCTGCTGAGGAGATGGGCACCCATGTGGGGCGAGAGCTTCCTACCCTCCACCCCACTGCCAGAGCTAGAGAGCCAGACTGTGCTCTTAGAGCTCCTTGTTAGTGCCCCCTGTTTGCACACACAAGCATTCATCGAGCACCTCACAGGACCATGGCTGATGCTCTGTAGAAATTCACACGTTGAAGTCCTAACTCCTGGTACCTCAGAATGCGACTGTATTTGGAGACAGGGTAACCTAAAACAAGGCCCTTATGGTGGATCCTACTCCAATCTGACTGGTGTCCTTCTAAGAAGAGATTAGGACACACACAGACACAGCAGGGCTGTGCATGCACAGAGGAAGGACTGTGCGAGGACACAGGGAGATGGTCATCTGCAAGCTAAGAAGGGAGGCCTCCACAGAAACCAGCCCCGCCAACACCTTGATCTTAGCTTTCCAGGCTCCAGAATTGTGAACAGTGATTGTCCAGAGTTTCACCCCAGTCTGTGGAGTCTTGCTGCGGCACTGTGACACCAGCCTGCACGCCTCTTCTCCTCTCCTGCCACCGAGAACACTGGGGCCCACCACACCATCTTCCCTCTCACTGTCAACCTGGATCGCTTCCAGTCTTGCTCTGGGCACCTTCCCAAGAGGACCCACATCATCCTCTCTGGCTCTCCTCCCTCCCAGGCTTCCCTCCACCCATTCCCTACTATATATATTGCTCAGGAATTAGCACCCTGTTCCCCCTACCCCAACACCCTCCAGAGTCCCTCTGCTTCCTCCCTCACCATCCCTGTGCTCCCAACTCCCAAATCAATATTTCCAGATTCAGATCTGGGGTCTCTGTTTGGACCCAGAGGTGCCTGCCCCACATCCATTCATCCCTTTGGGCTCCCTGTAGCCTGAACAGAGCCCTGCAGGCTTCCCTCGGGGACTACTGCAGGCTACACCCAACACTGTAACCAGGGCAGGATTTCTGAGTACCAACCTGGATATGCCCATCGAAATAAAGTCAAAATCACTTAGCATGGCCTTCAGAATTCTGAATAAGCTGGTCCTGCCTCCCCTCCAGCCTCTTAGTCTTTATCCTTCAGCTATTGCAAACTTTGGTCCCTTTCTAGAGCCATGTGCGAGGATTCTGTTCTGAGGCTTTTCATAAGCACTCCTTTCCTCCCAGGACATTCCTTTCTCCCCCCACTTGCATCCTTCTCATCCTCCATGTCTAGATTCCAATGTCACTTTCCAGCCCACCTCCACCCTGGCTGGCCTGGCCTGAGCACCCAGCCATTCCCAGACAGCCCTCCTCTCACCACAGCAGGATTGCCCGTCACCTGCCTTCTTTAGGCTTCCCACGTAACTCCACCTGGGATCTGGCCTAGTCTTAGTCACGCTATAGCACAATTTTATGCTCTATTCATATGGAATATCTAAAGAAATATGTGTTTAGGCCAGCCTGGGGGCTCATGCCCATAATCCTAGCACTTTGGGAGGCCAAAGCAGGAAGAGCACTTAAGACCAAAAATTCAAGGCCAGACTATAAAACCCCATCTCTCTTCCCTACAATAAATAAAAAAAAAAAAATTAGCTGGGCGTGGTGGTGCATGCCTGTGGTTGTAGCTTCTTGGGAGGCTAAGGCAGGAGGATCTTTTAAGCCCAGGAGTTGGAGGTTGCTATGAGCCATGATCAGGCCACTGTACTCTAGCCTGAGTGACAGAGTGAGACCCTATCTCAAAAGATATATATGTTTAATTCATATACTTAAAGAAAAAAACCAGAGGGGTAAACACCACACTCCTATTTCCACTAATAAAGAGCTTTCCTTTTAGACTTTAAGCATGCTGTATTTGGAGACAGGGTAACTTAAAACAAGGCCCTTAGGGTGGATCCATGAGCCATGAAGCTATTTCATTCCTTCCTAGATAGTACTTGGCATATGTCTAGTTTTTTAGCCTGGTTTTCATAGTGACAAACTTTTCTTTCATGTCAAATACTGTTCTTCATGATGTTCAAAGGTTGTTTGGTACTTCACTATATGGTGAGTGCCTTAGAGTCTGAAGTGGATGTCTTTAAAAGCTGGGTCTCCCACAATGGGGTGGTTGTTACCAAGGTTTTTTTTTTTTTTTTAATAAACAACACAATGGTAACTACCTTTGAATGTGATGGTAACCACCTTGACTGACCCATCTTTGAACATACATATTTGTACTCTGCTCTGATTACTGTTGTACAGTAAATTTCTCAAGATGGAATTGCTGGGTTGAATTTTGTATCCAAACTATCAAACTGCCCTCAGAAAGTGCTGTACTAACTACACTCCCACTAGCAGGATATGACAACTCCTATTTCACCACACCCTGGAAAAGAATAATATGTATTTGGTATCACTATTTTTTTTTTTTAAATCTTTGCCAGTTTGTCTGGGGGGAAAACATACACACACATATGATTTTAATTTGCATGTCTTTGATTCCTAGGGAGGTTGGGCATTTCTCCACGTGTTAATTTTCTATTTATATTTCTTTTTTGTGCATTGCCTGTTCATGTCATTTGCCCAGTTTTCAAGTAAGGTGGGGTTTTCTTTCATGTTGTCTAGTGCTCTTATATACAGCAGATTAAAAACCATTTGTCTTTTCTATCACACAAGCTGCAAATATTGTTACCAGTTTCTTATTCACATGTGACTTTAGAAAAACATCTGCCTCTTTAATTATTCCCTCTGATGTGATGACAAGCTTCTTTAATAAGCGTTCCTCCTAGAGTCACTCCATTTACAAAGAGAGGTGGACAGGAGCTCTACAGCAGCCACAGTGTGGGATTCAAAAGAAAAGACAGCTCCCACCTGGAAGTCTGGAAGCATCTGACAGCCAAATTGTACCAGAGAATGACTCCCAGGAGCCATAGTAAGTGTCCCTCAGCAAGTGTCCCCTAGGGCTGAGTTCAACCAAGTGCAAAGAAAGAGGCTGAAGCTGCACCCTGCCCTCTCGCACAGAGAACTGTCACATGTTACACATGCACTGTCTCTTTGGACTTACTGACTTACCCTGCCAAACAAGAGGGACACGAGCTGCTCAGAGAGGTGACATGATCAATTAGCTCAGAACCATGGAGCTGATAAATGGGGGGTCCAGGACTGCAACCCAGGTAGTTTGGCTCCCAGTTCCTTGTCTCAGAGGAAAGGATCCACATCCCTGGAACAGCTGGGCCTAGACTATAGCCAGAAGAATCTAGATCGTTCCTGTGAGTGCAGAAATCATAGGGCCTAGTGCACCTGACCAGGAACAGGGATCTGGAAGGACCACCCAGGTCTCACTTCCTCAGGCCTTCTTTGCACCAGGAAAGGCTTCAAAACAGCATCTTCGGGTCCTTCTTGGGAGCAGATGTTAATCCCGAGTCCTCCTCTGTGAAGGCAGCTGTTCCGCACCCCCCCGCAGTAGGGCCTGCCTTGGCCTCTGAGGCCCTCCCAGGAGCTCAGCCCCCTACTTTCCCACCCTGAGGGGAAGCTCAGTCTGGTATCTCTCTTCCATATGCACCTTACACCAACAAAAGGTTCTTCCAAAACAACTGGTCACACAAAAGAAAACTCTGAAGCTGAACATCAAAAGGCAGTCCCCTCCTTCCCCCTTCTTGGAGCTGTCAGAGGACATCAAGTGGCAATTGCCCACGCTCAGACTTCTGCAAAGTATTTTACAGCTTGTTTTCTTTTCTCTTTGTTTTATTTTCTCTACACAAATGGAAAAATGCATTGGGCAAAGCAGCTCACATCTGGATCCCTGGGCTCCACATAGAGGTGTCACCCAACTCCCGGCCTGTCCCTGGCCCCTTCCTCAGGAGACACCTTAATCCCTGGTGCCTTCCTGTTTATCTCCTGCTTCTCTTGGAGGCAAAAAATATTGGGTATTAGTTTCATTATCAGATTTCAAGGCGGGAAGGAAAGGGCAGCTTTGTGAGAACAGAGAGGTCAGTCCAGATAGAAGGAGGTGGGGGTAGAGACACTCCTGGGGACCAGCCCTGCCCCAGCTGGTAAGGTTCTGCCTCTTCCCAAGGGTCTCCCAGCCAGCTAGAGAGGCCTCAAGTTCTGTGCCCCCTTCAGTCAGCACACAGAGCTCACTAATGTGTGGCTGCATTTCAGACCCAAGCATAATAAGGAACAGGGAGATAGGAAAAGTGTCTCCCAGTGAGAAACCCAGCAGGGAGGGGGCCTAAGGGATGGGCTTCCTATTTCCCCATCCAAAGGTCCTCTAAGTCCTATTTTTCCCCCCAAATATTCTCTTTATTACGTGTTTGATCCAGAGGAGAAACTAAGTGCAGGGTGGAAGAGGAGGGGGCTAGGTGGGGAGGGGCCACCTTGTCTGGGTGCCCCCCGGCCCCCACCCCCTCTAAGTCCTATTTTAACACATGCCTGTGACCACTTCTTAGCTCCCAACATTCCGTAAGACTTTCTGAGCCTCTCCCACCAGCCTGGCGCTACCCCACTCCTGGCCACCCCTGTAGTCAGTTCAATTCAACACACATTTCTGGGGACCTAACCATGTGCCAGGCTCTGTGTCATAGGGATAGAGACAGACACAGTGTATCCTCAGTTGTCCAGGATCTGGCTCCTCATCTAGCCTAGCACAGGAGCACTCAACTTAGCAAACTCTTGGATGAAATAAGACAAATATTCTCATCCACTGTGTTGGTTCACTGAGGACAGGGATAGTTTGCTCTTTTATCCTTCAGCCCACAGCAGGCCTGGAAGGGAGGGAGGGAGAGAGGAAGGGAGGGAGGGAGGAATAGATGGATAGGTGGGCAGGTGGGCAGGCAGGCAGAGGATTTACGGCCTGGACCACACCCTGACAAGGCATGACCTTGTGACACTTCTTTTATTGTTCCTGTGAACTACTATAAACTCATCTTGCTGCTCGGACTTGCCAATTCACCTTCTGTCTACCTGAGCAGACCACAGTGCTTTAGGGAGAAGAACCCACATCTGAGCGTCCCGAACTCTTCCCGGGACTCTGAGGAGGGCCTCATACACAGAATGAAGAGACTGAACCTACATCTGTTAGTTTGATGAATTTACCCAAAGACCCTGATAAAATAACCCCCAGTCCCACCAGGACTATCCTAGTCCCAGAAAGCATCACGCAGACACTG